TCACCGAATTCAACAATAAAAGCTTGATATGAATGACCTTTCGTTCTCTCGAACGATGTTTTTCCATCGCTGTGTTTCTGGCACCTGGTGCACAGCCATCCGCAGTGTCTGATCAACCACGGCGTGAGCAGGCTCGTGCTTTTGAGCACCATGTTGCAGTGGCCCTCATGAGCCAACTTTTGGGCCCGGGCGAGACCCTCAATCGATGGGTGAAGGCGCTCAACTGTACCGTTCGACTGTTTGGATGCAACTGGCGCTTGCGCCGAATGAGTTTTCGGAGAAATTCCGTTGACCTGCCTCTTGGGAGCGACCGCGTGGGCCAAGTCCTTCACAGACGTTTCGGAATCAGTCTGCAAAATAATTTCTCCGTTCAGACCTGCGCGCTCCAAATGTTTGACCGTATATCCCACGGCATGCGTGTCAGAGGACCCTTTGGCCTTGACCTGTGTGCACGCACCATAACCGTCTACGACATCAACTACTGATACACATGTGATTACTGCTGCGTCGTGTTGTTTTCCAGAAGAAATAATCTATTTGTACAATGGGGATAATTGACTCGTCTGGGCGTTTGTGTGGAAATTGCTTCGCACGCCCGTGCACGCAGAACTCGCGCCAAGCCCTAAATGGTATGTGCGTAAGATTGTGTTCCAATCGTTCTATCGTTCTTAAGTGTTGGACCAGTGGGAATTCTGGGAGCCAACGGTCTGCGCCCTTCCTCTGGCTGCTCCTGCAAGGGAACAGGAGGCGACTGACAAGGTGGCTTTTCTAGCGCAGTTATCATAAACGGTTCGTGCCGTATCCACGGTACATGCTCAAAGCAAGCTTTGTGTTTTGTCCCTCAGTTGATCGACGTTCACGCTGTCTTCTACAAGTTCCCAAACACTCCCTTTGAGCATTTGCATACAAGTTGACCTTACAAGACCCTGCGCATTTACTGGACATACAAACTCTTTCGGACAAGTTGACACCACATACGTCACTCCATCGATTACATGTTTTCCTTCCGGTAACGTTTGCACGTGTGCTGGAGGTTCGTCGTTGCCAGAGGAACCTGCACTACGATTGTCATTTGTGCACTGCGCGCCGGTGGACCCGTTATTCTGTGGATGAGCTTCTCCTGAGAGGCTCATTGGAACGTCGCTCGTTTCAGATCTGTTTTGGGGATCGTTGCCCCCCTCACGTTGAACGAACAGTGTGGTTGTCCTGCCTGGCATAATGAAATTTTCTGGCATTTCGAATTTTGTCCAGTCTACCCTGTTTTCCAAGCGCACCCATTCGTTCTTTGGCCATTTTACCCACGTGATGCGCAGAGGGAAATGCGTTGCGATTTTATCGTATGTGAATTTCTTTGGCAACTGTCCGACGGGAACTCTGTGTTGCTCTGTTTTGGGCGTCACAACATAAGGTTCGCCTTCAGAGGTGGTACTCCTAATTTATTTGTTCATCTTTGCGGAAATGTTCATTATCAATTATTCTGGCGGTTCGTCGAGAGGCAGGAGGACAACTGAATGCAACGACTGGCGCTGGATGATTGGCATGGTCTTTACCGGGTCTACAAACTTACACGTTACCCGATGCAGGAAATTGTGTTCTTTCACAGACAACGGTTTTGGGATATGTGGCCCTTTCTTCACACAGGTGCTGCCATCAAACATGCAAGTGATGTTGTTTTTGTTTCGTTAGCCGGATGATGATGAGTGCGGTAATTGCTGCTTTGAAGACACTGAAACGGATTGCAAACACTACCGTCGCGCCTTTGTGGCCGATCAGTTGTATAGGTACGCTTCTGTGTCCTATCCGTGTCATCGGATCTCCCGAGGCGGTCGCACCTCCTTTGCCAGCAGACTTTACCACAGGGATGTGTTTCGCGAAAGACTCATTGCATACATGATCGAAGGTTCCAGAATCCAAGAGGGTCTGGAAGTCTCTCTGTGTGCATGTGCCGGCGGGCGCGACGCTGTTCTGTCCCTGCGGGACGTCGTCCAAAAACGAGTTGATGTAGTGTTCACTTTTCCCAGAGTCCACCACGATGCACATCAAAATCGCTTGTCCGATGATCAGCCTGACGATGGGCCAACACATGTTTGACAAGCTTGTGAATACATGTGAACACACGTCGCAGATTTCAGACCAGATGTTTGCACAAAACGACACCACACACATCATCACAAACATCGTCATCATGTATAGCGTCGCCCCTGGAAAGCTCTCGGCGATTTTGCGATGAGTGCTAATGGGATCATCGCCCTCGTCATCTGAATCCGCCATCACAAACCATTCTGGACAGTCGTGGAAATCTTCACACTGGTCTGCCACAGGTCTCCGCAAAAAGTCCAGTGGGATCTGTCTGATAGCCCACATCCACACAGAAAGCGTGCTCACTGGGTGCGCTGCTCTCGCTGCCAGCGTCGCTCGACGAATCCGCAAAACCATACTCGAAAGCAAGTGCGTTGTCATCCTGTGACTCTGCCCCCGGATCGCTCTCGGCTGGCGCAGCTGACTCACACGGGAAACACTCGTTCGAATCGGTCGACTCGCTGTCGCCTTCGTCCGGAGAGCTGCTCCCAGGAAGCAGAGCCGCGAACTCCTCTAGGGAGTATTCGTCGTGTTGCTCTGGCTGCTCTTCTCCATCCTGGTTCCAATCGCCCTGCTCGTCCCAAGACCACCCGGGACCCCAAGAGTCCTGGTCCCAGGCCTGTTCGTAGGAATGGCTTCCTTTCCGTGATCGATTTTTCCATGTTTTTCCCTTTGTTGTTGAATCTGCACTCTGACGCCCAATGGTTCCTCATCCTGTAAATGTCACACCACTTGTTTGCGTTCTGACTCCAGCCATTTTTGCCTCCACTGCTCGACTGGCCCCTACCTTTGCCTCCAGTGTTCGTTTGGCCCCTGCCTTTACATTTCCAGTCGTTCTGGCACCAGCCCTGCGCCTGAGTGGAGGAACCCTGTCCTCGCCAAGAGGATGATGGGCATCCACGGCCAGACCCCGCTCCTTGGGAATATCCCTTCGGAGTGCCCTTGGGGGGTGCCTTTGGGGGATTCTTTTGGAAAGCCCCTATTGCCACCCTTTGGGGGTCCTTTCGGAAAACCTTTCGGGGCACCTTTCGGAGAACCCTTCAACGCATCAACTTCAATAGGTTTCGGTCCGCTGTCCTTTCTGGCGCACGGGTTTTTCCATTCATGTTTGATTCCAACGTATTTGTGGATCTCTCGTTTGAGGTCTTCATATGTTTCGCACAGATGTGTTTTTAAATCGCAATGTGTCCTCATGGGTTCCGGGGTCGTGTTCATAACCACGCTGACTATTACATCGTCTGCTAGCTCCTCAGGGCCGGCTAAATCGTCGTACTCTTTTATTAGCAAGAACTTCTGGGAGGGAAGAGCCCGAGAAGCTGAAGTCCATGATTGCGTTCAGAACCCCTCTTTTCGTGTGTTTGTCTTTGTGCTCATACCTTATGCACATCCTACGCCACATCTCAAGACCCCTGCCTTTCTCGACTTTCCTAAATACTTTCGTCATCTCTCCGTACACAACACCCTTTAGAATATACGCTAAGTTTGCTGAATGTTGTTTCACATCGTCTTCTGTGGCTGCTAGTGCGATGGGATTCGCATGGTCTCGTGCTCGTTCCATGTTCTGCAACATTACTTGGCTCACAGCTCCATAATAAGATTCGAAACGATAACACCAATCACTCCATTCACTTTCATCTCTGGAGAACTCTTTTAGACCTCGTCCTAACAGTTTCGTGTCAATCACTGCTGCCATTCTTTCTACACTGCGTGTCTTCCCAGAGCCCTACTTGGGTTGGGGATGCTACTCTACAATGAGTCTTCCCAGAGCCCTACTTGGGATGGGGGTGTTATCTAAGTCCGCGCATTGTTCACCACGGCTCCGCTACCATGAAAAGATAAGCGGATGATTTCGATATGGAGCATGTTCTCCTGGGCTCGAGGCTCAAGCCGACTGCGGTGAAGACAAGGGATTCTCAAGGGATTATTACGGCCCTCTATTTTTCTCCAGCACAAGCTTGAGAGGGCGCCGGGGCGAGGCATCGGCAACAGTGACAACAGAACGCAGCAGCATCGCACAAGTAAAAAACTCTGGGCCTTTTAAATTCTGAATTCGTGTGGGAATGAAAGGCGGAAGAGCAGAGAAGGGGGGGGGGTCGGGCGGCTCGCGCGGCTGATTAGAGCCAACGGTTGCGGATCACCAAATTGACAGGCCAACCCGATAAACTATCTCCAAGGCCCTCTAATTTTTCTCCAGCACAAGCTTGAGAGGGCGCTGGGGCGAGGCATCGGCAACAGTGACAACAGAACGCAGCAGCAGCGAACAAGTAAAAAACTCTGGGCCAGATTCACGTCCAGATTCATTAGTGCATTGGTAATACCGCCTAGCATTTACAAATGCCCCACAACCGAGAGAGCCTTCGACTATTAGACGCATCTACAAGAGACTTGGCAAGGGTCTTGCACAGCGCCTTGGGGCAAGGCTGCGCTACTGCAGTCCAAAACTGGCCACCGGGGGCCTTGCCCTCTAACACTTGGCGAGGTCTCTGGGACCTCTCACAAATGCCTTTACCGTGGCACTTTCGCCCAAGAAGCTCCGGAGAAACGTGCCAGAGGCGAAGCCGTGTTCGTTTACGCCACGGCTCACCCCACATACAAAAGTCCGTGAAAACATCGTGAACATTGAGGAGCCTACCGAGACCTAGCACAGGCGGACACAGCCAAAGACGAGAAAAAGCGGGATTCTCGAGCCCTCCAGGGATCCCTCTGGTGTGAGCTAGCTTAGCAAGCACGACAGAGACACGCGTCAAACGGTTTCCCAACTGCACTCCCTTCTGATCGGGACCGGAGAGGCCAGGCAGTCCAAGAGGAAACTCTTTGGACCTCAAGGGTCCTGGCCCAGACTTGGTGCGCCTACGGGCCAACGAGAAAGAAGCGCATGGAGTTCCTAACCACAAGACACTGAGAATCCAACCTTTCAGAACTTCAACACTGGACGCCTTGGTGAGATCAAACAGTGCTCCTCGAATGATGTCCCACTCGACCGCGGGGATGCCTTTGGCGCGAAGCGCCGAGGCGAGACGGCCTGACCCAGCGAAGACCTCGACGGCGACCCTATCTCGCCCCAGGCGCACTCTGTGGAGCGTCGCGGTGAGCAGCTGGCGAACCGCGGCGTCAGTCTCTGCCGGCTGAGTCGCAGCCGCTCCTGCGCCACGGGCGGCACCTGCGCCACTTGCAGCACCAGGCGGCCGTGCGTCTCGTACCTCCGCACGGACAGGCGGGCTAGCCCTTTGCCTCTCTTGGCCACCTCCTCGAGCGACCTCCTTCCCACGATTCGATCGTGGCTTTCTCCTCCGTGCCGTAGGCAGTACAGCGTGGCGCCGATGCGCTGAAGACCCAGCACCGCCAGCGCGCTCTCGAGCTCCTCGCGCAGCTGCACGTAGCCGAAACTCCACAGCGGCCCGCGGAGCTCCCACCGCGCCTTCAGATCCCTGAGCACGGGGGTAGGCCAATGGAGCTCGGGCACGTCCAGCGGCAGCGAGTGGTCTAGCTCGACAGTCCTGCTGGGCACCAGCAGCTCCTCTGGATGAAGCACCAGCGCCCACCAGTGAAACCCGCCCTGCAGCCCGGCCGCAGGCGGCACCAGCTAAAACGCCTTCATCGCCAGGAGCTCTCCGGGCCGAGGGTAGCCGTGGAACATGAGGCAGAGAGCACACGCCATCGCCACCTCCCGCTTCAGCAGCAGGAGCTCCAGCACGCCGCAGAGCACCAGCCCGGGGAGCGGCGGGCGAGAGGGGCCAGGCCGCTTGCGCTTCCCGCCCAGCAGCGCCCGGCTGCGCCTCGGCAGCACCACCCGCAGGGGCCGCCCCAGCGCTGGTCGCGCCCAGAGCACCGCCGACAACATCTTCGCAGCCCTGTTCGGCCGCACTCCCTGCGCGAACTCGTCGTTCAGGTACTGCAGCAGTGCGTCGACCCACTCCAGCGCGATCCAGCTGGGCAGCGTCTCCACTCCGAGACAGCTGCAGAGGCCACTGAGGCACTTCAGGTAGCTCTGCTGGGTAGAGGGCCCCATCGCCTCCAGCTACAGTCCTGACGCGCTCGAGCCCAGGAGGCGGTGCCACGGCGAGGCCGTCGGCCTTAGGGTCGCGGCAGCGGGCCGGGGGCGTCTGACACTGGCCCTCGCCCGAGCCGAGAGCGCGCGGCCCGGCGAGCCCAGGAGGCGCTTCCGCCCAAGGCCGCTCGCCGGCGCCCTCGGAGCAGGCAGCGGCTGCGCACTCAATGCGGCCGCCACGAGCCGACGGCGCTCCATCGCCCCGCAACCGGCGGGGCTCGAACCGTCTCGAAGGACCGTCGGCGGGGTTCCACTCTGAAGGGATCCATCGCACTGACACACGACAAGACGATGCGAGCTGAAGAGCGGTGAAGTGTCTCAACTGAGCGAGGATGGGAAAGTCCGAGGCTCTTCCTTTTGCAACTGCACCTCAAATACACTTGCTGTCTGACAAAAATAGAAGCCTGCACCCATGATGCGCCACTCGCCGCACCTGCCGTCGCATGGCCCATAGCAGCGCCTCGCCCTCGAGAAGATGGATGGGGGCACGATGACGCCACCGTCTCGAGGCCACGGTCTTCCACGAGGCGGCCTTGCAGAAGTCAGACGGCACGTCGGGGAACGGAGAGTCGCCGACGGCGCCTTCACGCAAGGCGCGTGCACGCGAGCCTTCGGCCACCAGCTCGCTCTCCTTGAACCTCCAGCGCTCTCTAACTCGGCCGATGCGCCCGACGTCGCGTGGGTCCGCGGAGCGCTCCACCGCGCCCAAGCCAGTCAACGAGGCGCCCACGGCCATCACGCCGGGGGCCCAGGCGCCGCGCAGGTCCGCCCACACCAGCGGCAGCAGTGCTCGCATCCAGGTCAGCTCTCGGCGCACCGAAGGCCAGAGCCGCACGCGCCGAGCGTAGCACTTGCTGACAAAGACGTAGGATGCACTGAGCAAGCTGAGCACCTCGCGTCGTAGCAGCAGCACGTACGTCAAATGCCCGATCAGTCGCTCTAGCTCGGCTCCCGTCAGGATGGGGTGCTTCAGGATATAGTCCAGACTCATGACCAGCCTCCAGAACCGCTTGGGCGCGATGTGGATCGCCCCCTTCACCCCGTCGACGTGGAACCCGAGCAGGCCCACGTCAACCTGCGGCCCCGAGATGTCGCGAGTACTCAGACCGCGTCCCCTCAGCTGCCTCTCCATCGAGTCGCCGTCGAGCTGGACTGCCTCCTTCACAGTCCCCCGCGAGGCGAAGTTGTCGATGTACAGGAGAGCAGCGGGCTCACGCCCGGCGACAGCCGGCGCGCAGCGGCGATTGCAGATCCAGCGGCGGGCCCCTTGCGGACCAGCTCGCAGCAGCTCCTCGTTCGCCGCCTGCACCAGCGCCACGGCCCAGCTCCAGCCCATCGGCACCACGCGCACCTGGAAGTGAACGAAGTCGTTCCCGGGCGGGAACAAGCGGCGCAGGCTCCGTGGCAGCAGCTTCCCAGGCACCGCCGGTAGCACGAAGTCGGCCCTCAGGTCGTCAGGCAGCAGGAACTGGTAGTAGCAGTTCTCGACATCGCCCTCACTGACCCACAACCGCTGGCCGGCAGGCAACTCAAGATCACCCAGGGCCTCAGGAGAAGCCAGAGCAACACTATCGGGAGGTACAAACTGCGAGTTCGTCCTTCGGGGATCGAAGATGATCCGCAACGAGCCGTCCTTCTTACGCACAAAGAAGACTCCCACAAAACTGCGAACCTCAGTCGCCGGCTCGACGACGCCCGATTCGCATGCAGACATCAAAAACTCGGCGTACTTGCTGGGCGACCTAGCCAGGATAGGATCCATCGCAAGGCCCAACCCGTCCACCTCTGCCGCCGCGCCCCTTGTACACACTGCTGGTAGCCGAATAGCGCGGCCACTATCCTCCAGCAACTTCTGGTAGTGGTCGGGCAGGCAACTGACGAGGTCGATCGCCTGGTTACCGACCGCTGGCAGGGCAAGCCTGCCGCGCTGGTAGGTCGCGAACTCTCCGGCGACAACACCTGCAACGGCGTAGCCGGGTCCGCAGCCCCGAAGCGCAGACCACGCTCCCGAGGCGGCGAGGTCGTCGGGCGGCGGCGGCACGGCAAAGTAGGCCCGGGCCAGGCTGGCCACAGCCTGGCGCTGGATAGCACCTGGCAGCACTTTGGGGCCCCACTCCTCGCCGCGGCCGCCCAGAACGTTGAGCGTCGAGATGCCGTCCTGCAGCCACGCCTCGGCAGCCCGTCGGCGCGAGCGCCGCCGATCCGCACAGCGCGAAACACCCAGGCCAGCTGGCGAGAGTCCCTCCAGGAGATCAGCCAGACAGCGCGCCCCGATGGCAGCGGCAGCAAGTCCCGAGCCCAGTCTAGGCCTTCACCTGCAACACCGAGGCGGCCCGCCATCCTCCTCAAGCGGGCAGCCCTCCCCTCTGCAGAATGGGCGGCGGCCGGGGGCCTCCGCCGCCCGTGGCAGCTCAAGCAGCGTCACCCCCCGGCCCGCCACCATTCTTCTTCGGGCGCCTGGGGGGCTTCTCGTCGTTCTTGCCGCTTCCACCACCTGGAGCAACCTCGGTCGAGCGGGCCAGCTGCCGCCCCTCCTTCGCCTTGCGGCGCTCCTTGAGCACCGCGCTCTCCTCGGACAGCTTCTGGGAGATCCACGACTCTAGGGCAGGCGCCACAAGCGCGCGACCATGGCGGCCCTCCTGGCCCATGAACAGCCAGTCGTTGTCGAGGTGGCCGCTGTCGCCACCCGCAGTCGCCGCAATTAGCACGCGGGCGCACCTCTCCTCGAGCAGCTGGTATCGCCTGCCTGCAAGCTACAGCGACGCCAACTCGCCGAAGTTCAGCTGGTCGTACGTCAGCGCGTACTCGAAGAGGCGGCTCAAGGACTCGTGCTCTCCGACGCCCCAATCGCTGGGGCCCAGGCCCAGCAGCTGTCTCCACCAGAAGTGGCGGCGCACGGGCGTGAGCTCCTGCCGAACGATCTCCCGCGCCAGCCACTCCGCCGTCCTCGGGCCGCTGATCGGCCAGTCCTCGAACGCCGTCGTCGTGGTCAGCGAGGCGGCCTCCTTGTAGGGGCGACGCCGCTGGCTGGCCGTCTCGTACTTCACCGGGAGTGTGCGCAGCTCGTTGGACACAGGCTCCGCTTCCTCCACTTCCCTCGGCGCAGGCATCTGCTGGCCCGGCCGGAAGAACGAGCAGGCCACGAAGACGTCGCCGACCAGGGCCACTCCACGATCTCCTCGATGGCAGCCCGCCTCCAGCTCCGCGTCGCCGACGCGCTCGCCCAGCCGAGCACCACCGCGGTTCTCCGAATACCGCCACCCTCCATCGCCCGAGCTAGGCACACCCTCCAGCGCCAGCGGCGGGGGCGCGCCCGCGGGCGGCGGCAGCGGCGGAGAAGCGGCCAGGACCAGCTCACGCCTCTCCTGCAGGGCCAGCTCCGCGCCATCCGTCTGGAGCCTCAAGCTCTCCTCGCGGCGCAGCGGGCCCTGGGACGAGTGCCTGAACAGGTGTGTAGGCCCACGGTTCCACCCGATCGGCAAGCCTCCCATGGGGCCCAGCAAGACGAGGCTCTCGACGCCCTCCCTGAGGTCCTCAAGATACATGTCTCTCCCGGGTGTAGTCACCACCCACGAGCCTTCGTGCACGTGCGCACACAGAAGGCGCTCATGCCACAACAGCTCGCGCGGGTCCTCGTCGTAAGAGACGAGCACTCGCTGGCCCTGACGAAGATGATCTGACATCGCTTCCGTCGGTCAGGTACGGCGTCTCCGCGCTCTCCGACGTGGCACGACACTCCGAGCGACTCCAGCACCACCAGCCACAGGATGCAGCAGCGGCGGATCCTGCCAGGAACGCCAGCACCGCCACCAGGAGGACCACCAGTCCAGGGTAGCCAGAGCACTCTGGGGGCGGGCACGGCGCCGGCACCGTGAGGTTGGCGGGCCCGCACCTTTGCAGCTGACCTTCCAGCAGGCGCAGCAGCTCACGGTCCACCGAGAAACCATCTCCCAACTCGACCTGGCAGGTACAGCGCTGGCCGTACCACAGGCTGCCCAGGTGCGCCAAGCCGCCGGCGCCAGCTGCGGCAGCCCTCGCCCACTCCATAGAGGGGCGAACTACCGGCTCGCGCGGCTGATTAGAGCCAACGGTTGCGGATCACCCAATTGACAGGCCAACCCGATAAACTATCGCCAAACCTCCTCCTCCTCCTCCTCCTCCTCCTCCTCCTCCTCCTCCTCCTCCTCCTCCTCCTCCTCCTCCTCCTCCTCCTCCTCCTCCTCCTCATCCTCCTTTCCCCTCGTCCTCCTCCTCTCCTCTGCCTCCTCCTCCACATCCTCTCCCTCCTCCTCTCCTCCTCCTCCTCCTCCTCCTCCTCCCCCTCCTCCCCTCCTCTTCCTCCTCTTCCTCCTCCTCCTCCTCTTTCTCCTTCTACCTCCCTTCCTCCTCCTGCTCCTCCTTTCCTCGTCCTCCTCCTCCTCTCCTCCCCTCCTCCTCCTCCTCCTCCTCCTCCTCCTCCTCCTCCTCCTCCGCCCTCCTCCCTCCTCCCCTCTCCCTCCTCCCTCCTCCCTCCTCCCTCCTCCCCCTCCCTCCATCCTCCATCCTCCTCCTTCCTCTTTCCTCCTTCCTCCTTCCTCCATGCTCCTTCCTCCTCCTCCTCCTCCCCCTCCTCCCTCCTCCTCCTCCTCCTCCTCCTCCTCCTCCTCCTCCTCCTCTTCTTCTTATTCTTCGTAGTATTCTTATTATTCTTCTTCTTATTCTTCTTCTTCTTCTTCTTATTATTATTATCTTCTTATTATTATTATTCTTATTCTTCTTCTTCTTATTAGTATTCGTCTTATTATTCTTCTTATGATTCTTTATTATTATTATCATTATTATTATTATTATTATTATTATTATTATTATTATTATTATTATTATTATTAGTATTATTATTATTATTATTTATTATTATTATCATTATTATTATTATTATTATTAGTAGTAGTAGTATTATTATTAGTATTATTATTATTAATAGTATTATTATTATTCTTATTATTATTATTATTATTATTATTATTATTATTATTATTAATAATGTTATTATTATTATTATTATTATTATGCTTCTTCTGATTCTTATTCTTCGTATTCTTATTCTTCTTATTCTTCTTCTTCTTATTATTCTTATTATTATTCTTATTATTCGTCTTCTTATTATTCTTCTTATCATCATACCTACCGGTGTGATCTCGCACTGCTTTATTTCGACCGACCGTGTGCCCATAATGCGGTCGTGCTGGTGGTCGTGCTGGTGGTCGTGTTGCTGGCCGTTCTGGTGGAGGTGCTGGCAGTCGTGCTGGTGGTCGTGCTGGTACTTGTGCTGGTGGTCGTGCTGGGAAGTGCTGGTGGTCGAGCTGGTGGTCGTGCTGCTGGCTGGTCGTGCTGGTGGTCGTGCTGGTGGTCGTGCTGGGCTGGTGGTCGTGCTGGTGGTGGTGCTGGCGGTTGTGCTGGTGGTCGTGCTGGTGGCTGGTCGCGTTGGTGGTTGTGCTGGTGATCGTGCTGGCGGTCGTGTTGGTGGCCGTTCTGGTGGAGGTGCTGGTGATCGTGCTGGTGGTCGTGCTGGTGGTCGTGCTGGTGGTTGTGCTGGTGGTCGTGCTGGTGGCTGGCCGTGCTGGAGGTGCTGGTGGTCGTGTTGGTGGTCGTGCTTGGTCGTGCTGGTGGCTGGCCGTGCTGGAGGTGCTGGTGGCTGGTCGTGCTGGTGGTCGTGCTGGTGGTCGTGCTGGTGGTCGTGCTGGTGCTTGTGCTGGTGGTCGTGCTGGCGGTCGTGTTGGTGGCCGTTCTGGTGGAGGTGCTGGTGGTCGTGCTGGTGATCGTGCTGGTGGTCGTGCTGGTGGTTGTGCTGGTGGTCGTGCTGGTGGCTGGGCGTGCCGGTGCTTGTGCTGGTGGTCGTGCTGGCGGTCGTGTTGGTGGCCGTTCTGGTGGAGGTGCTGGTGGTCGTGCTGGTGGTCGTGCTGGTGGTTCTGCTGGTGGTCGTGCTGGTGGCTGGCCGTGCTGGAGGTGCTGGTGGTCGTGTTGGTGGTCGTGCTGGTGGTCGTGCTCGCGGTCGTGTTGCTGGCCGTTCTGGTGGAGGTGCTGGTGGTCGTGCTGGCCCCTCCCCCTCCCCCCCTGCGCCCCCCTCCCCTTATTCCGACCGACCGTGGGCCGCCCCCCCCGCTTCTCCCCTGCGACCGACCGTGGGCCACCCCCCCCCGCTCCCTCCCTGCGCCCCCCTCCCCTTATTCCGACCGACCGTGGGCCACACCCTCCGCTCCCCCCTTGCGCCCCCCTCCGCTTATTCCAACCGACCGTGGGCCCCCCCCCGCTCCCCCCTTGCGCCCCCGTCCCCTTCTTCCGCCCGACCGTGGGCCACTCCCCCCGCTCCTCTTCTGCGCCCCTCTCCCCTTATTCTGACCGACCGTGGCCCCCCCACCGCTCCCCCCCTGCGCCCCCGTCCCCTTATTCCGACCGACCGTGGGCCACCCCCCCCGCTCCTCCCCTGCGCCCCCCTCCCCT